AAAGTCAAAGCTTGAATTTTTCCTTCAGTTCGCCCAGCTTGAGAAATGCTGAGCGTGTTCTTTCTTTTTGGTTTTCTGATTCCAGACCTTTGCACATTTTGTTGTAATATTTGGCTTTATCTTCTCGAGCTGATGTTTGAAATTTTCTGTTTAGCTCTTGGACCTCTTCATTTCTTCCATTTGCTTTACCATCTCTACGCTGGAGAGCAAGTTTCAGTGTCTCTCCTGACATTCATTTTGATCTTTTCCTTCTTTCTTGTCTTCTCAATGATTTTTTGCTTTCTTCATGTATGATGTTCTTGATGTTGTCCTATAACTCTTCTGGTGTTCAGTCTTTAGTGTTTAATGTATCAAATCTGTTCTTCAGTTGATCTCTAAATTCAGGTGGGATATATTCAAGGTCATATTTTGGCTCTCTTGGACTTGTTTTCATTTTCTTTAGCTTCAGTTTGAATTTGCATATGAGTAATTGACGGTCTGTTCCACAGTCTGCCCCTGGCCTTGTTTTCACTGATGATATAGAGCTTTTCCATCGTCTGTTTCAGTAGATATAGTAAATTATTTTTATGTATTCCATCTGTATAGGTCCATGTGTATAGTTGTCTCTTATGCTGTCTAAAGAAGGTATTTGAAATGAACAAATCATTGGTTTTGCAGAATTCTATCATACATTCTCCAGCATAATTTGTATCACCAAGGCCATATTTTCCAACTACTGATCCTTCCTCTTTGCTCCCAACTTTTACATTCCAATCACCAGTAATGATCAACACATCTTCTTCATCAAAAAGAACATATCCGGATCAGTCATGAGGTACAACGCTGTCTGTGATAGGATAATATCCATGAGCCTACAGAGAAACTCAATTAATACCACTATTATTCAAATTTACGCACCAACCACAAAAGCCAGTGAGGATGAAATAGAAGAATTCTACCAACTGCTTCAATCTGAACTTGATCAAACATGCAATCAAGATGTATTGATCATTACTGGTGATTGGAATGCAAAGGTTAGGAGCAAAGAGGAAGGATCAGTAGTTGGAAAATATGGTGCTAATAATATTTATAATAATAGTAATCAACTCCAATCATTGAGCGTTAACAATACAGCCAATGTAAGCTCTCTACATACATTATTTCATTTACTCCTTACTACCTGCCATTGAATTGCACACATGGATAACCCTTCTGAGGTATACGGTTATTATTCCTGTTTTAAAGAGAAGGAAATTAAAATAATTAAATCCAGGTAGTCTGGTAGCGTAGTGGTTATGAAT